GAGAAGTGAAGGAGAGAAAGAATGAAGGTGGCTATTTCCTCCAGGAAATAGCAAGCAGCACAGACAGATCTATAGTCACAGGGGACCCGAGGTGAGAGAAGGTCCTGTTGTAAGATGGGCGAGTCATTAGGATTGAGGAGAGAGCTCCAGCAGCAAGGAGGCAATGGTTGAAACTCATGGAGAAAGATGAGCTCACTGAGAGAGGTAGCCGGGGTGGGGGAGCTAGGCTGGAGAAAGGAGGAGAGGAGGAGGAGGAGGAAGAAGAGAAGCAGAGTGCAGCCCGGGCCTGGGCCAGGGCTTCTTGTTGCCTCTGAGCTGAGGAAGAGCGGAAACATGGAAAGTTGCAGGCTGAAGACACAAGTCTGCAGAATTCACACTGGCAGCTTTTCCCTGTTCCGTGAAGTGGGCAGGGAGGTGGGGATGGGGAGGGGCTGAAGAAGATAACAACCTGGATTAGTCTCTCTGGGAAACTGGGATCCTGAGCCTGGACAAGAGAAGGAAAGGCATTGATCCGTATGAGGGCCATCTACTCTGCTCAACTGTGCCAGGACCATGGACACAAGGGAAAGGGGAAAGGTAGGCCCCTGAGCAAAATCTGCACCACTGCAAGAGTGGCATGCAGAATGTGGAGGCTTAGTGCAGGGCTGCCACACGGACAGACTTCCAGGCTGCAGACGAGTCTCCGTGCCCTGACTATACCCCCCGGGCTTCCACACAGGAGGCATTCCATGAATCTCCGATAGTACAGAGCCCTTACCTGCCAAAGGCTTCCACCATCATACACCGGGGCTGTAGAGACTTGGTCCTGATGTCATTGGTTATGTTTTTCCTCTCCTTGAAGTACCGGCATGAGCCCTGGATGCCATCCTTGTTCTCTAAGATCATATGAATGGGGTAGACATCCTCCAAGGGGACTGGATCCCTCCGGGACTCCAAAATGCCAGTTTCCAAGTCAATCTCTTCATACCTAAAAGGGGGAAAGCACAAACACCAAACCACAACTCAGCTTCAGAAATAATACATACTTGGCACATTCTTCTTTCCTTTTTTTATTAAAGATTTTATTTATTTATTTTTAGAGAGTGAGTATGCAACAGCTGGGGTGGGGAGAGGCAGAGGGAGAGAAAGAGGTAAAGGGTCCCAAGCAGACTTCACGCTGGGAGCCCTACACAGGGCTGGATCTCACGACCCTGAGATCATGACCTGAGCTGAAACCAGAAACCAAGAGCCGGATGTTTAACGGACAGAGCCACCCAGGCGCCCCTGGCGCATTCTTCTGACAAACTCCTGCTGAGATCAGAGAGTGAGCTCACTCGGTCCCCAGCCTTGCATATGCAGATTAGAGCAGCAATCCTGCCTTTCTATCCCAGAAAACACAGACCTTTCCAGGGTCCCCCAAACCCACCCTAGAAGCTGAATGCTGGAACCAGAACCATCTCACTGGCCCAAATCATGGCCTTTTGGTTTCCCTCCAAATCCGGTGCCTGCATGTTAACAATTTTCACCTTGGAATCCTCAGTCCTGTCTTTTCCTCCAAACACTGATCCTGGGTCTCCAGTTGTCTATCGAACACCTCGAATTCAATGAGATCAAAATCAAGGCTATGACGACCTCTCTCTGCCTCGAATGAAGTCCCTCCTTTCCACTTTCTTCCAGTTATGTTGTATAGATGCCATAGGGACATCTTTGGCTTGCATTTCTTCCTTTATCCAGTTAGCCAAGTTTGTGAGGCTCTCCTTAGAAATGTTGCTCACAGCCTGCGCTGATCTATTTAAGGGCAAATCCCATTTATGCTCATCAGCCCTCTCTTCTTCGCCTTCTCTGTGACCTCTGCACTGCTTTACCCTCCATTCCCAAATCACATCTTCCACCACCTGCCAGGAGTTGGCTGTGGACTACTGCCCTCCACCTCTCCAGCCACACCTCCCTAGACTTCTTTGATGGTTTCTAGCTGTCCATCCAGCCTTTCAGTGTACGTGCACCTAAAGGCCATGTCTTAGGCCTCCTGTCACACTGCATCCTCTTCCAGGGATGATCCCGGTCTATAGCTTTAATACCTAACCATATGGGATGATTGCCCATGTCCAGCTCTGTCCCTCCCTCTGGCCTTGCTTTTGTCCAATGAAGCCACATGTTTACTAAATAGAATCTCCACTTGGATCACCCAAAGGAACCTTGAACTCAGTGTGTACATTCAGCACCTTGCCCACCTCCCCTGAGACCCAACCACCTTGCTGCTCTTCTGTGTTCCTCACCAACAGTAAAGGGCATCAATATTCATTGAGGAACCTAAATATCAGAAACCAGAAAACAATCATCCCTGATTCCCCCCTGTCTTAATAACCCCACATCTAGGGATCCCTGGGTGGCGCAGCGGTTTGGTGCCTGCCTTTGGCCTAGGGCACGATCCTGGAGACCCGGGATCGAATCCCACGTTGGGTTCCTGGTGCATGGAGCCTGCTTCTCCCTCTGCCTGTGTCTCTGCCTCTCTTTCTCTCTCTGTGTGACTATCATAAATAAATAATAAAAAAAAAATACATACTATGTGTTTAATTTAAAAAAAAAATAACCCCACATCTAGTCACCAAATCCTCTTGATTCTTCTGCTCCATATGTCTCGATTCCATTTGCCTCTCTTATTTATTCTCACTTGTGCCACAGTAAGCAAAACTGAGGTGGAGAACAAAGGCAAGAAAGAAATGTAGAGGGCAGCCTGGGTGGCTCAGCGGTTTGGCGCCGCCTTCAGCCCAGGGCGTGATCCTGGAGATGGGGGATGGAGTCCCAGGTCGAGCACCCAGCGTGGAGCCTGCTTCTCCCTCTGCCTGTGTCTCTGCCTCTCTTTCTGTGTCTCTCATGAATAAATAAATAAAATCTTAAAAAAAAAAAAAGAAAGAAAATGTAGATGAAAATGAAACTTCTTTATAACCTGCAGCCCATTGTCATTCGAGGCAGGCAGAGTATAACATTCTTCCAGGAAGCTCCCAACTGTAAAAATTAATGCTCTGCTAGGAGAAAAACAAGCTTAGCTTGACAATAGCTAGGCCTCCAGGGTCCCCCTGAGTCTTCTTCAGCATCTGAGAGTCCTTTTGGAAGCCTCCGTTTGTCTTTACTGCCCACAACTGGAAAATATATAATCAGTCACTCGCTCCTGACAACCCCAGCTCGTTCTGCCCACCGGTCCTATCACTGTGCTTTCATGAAAGCCTTCTTGCACCGAAGACTTCTCGTGAATTCTTTCTTGGCCAACAGCTCTAAACCCCAACCTTCAAACCACATCAAAACGATGATTGGTTGTTTGTGACTGGATTACTAAAATCTCTCAACCTCACATTCTGCCCTTAGTCTGGCCCTCCTTTTTGGGGGTGGGGTTCCCAACTGTTCTTTTGGTAAAGGATAAACTCTCTAAGTGGATTAAAAGACCACTGATTACCTCTCCAGTCCCATCTGTTTAAGGACAGAGAGGACTCTGTAACCCCAAACTTCAAGGATTCAAATTCTGGTTGAAGTTGCTCTTGCTAGTTGATAGTCTTGAACAAGTCACTTACCCTCTCTGTGCCCGAATTTTCTCTTCAGGAAAATGGGGGTGATAATATCCACCTCCTTAGGGTCATTGTAAAAATTAACTTGCTATGTCAGGGTCTCAGCAAATCCCAGCTCACAAGAAGCATGTACCTAAGTGCCAACTATTATTCCCTATTCTCCGCCTCCCACCCTACACTTCAACCACACTTAACTTACTTCTCTCCCTTTAGACTTCCACATTTGCCCTTCCCCGTCCAGAATACTCTGCCAAGTGGCTCCCTAAATCCAATCTTTTAAGTCTTGCTTTGGACAGTATTACCTCTGGTAACTTCTCACAACACGACGTTAACCGCACAGACTCTATAGAGACAGGCTGCCTTGAGTGTTCTAATCAACACTTGGGTCACTTATAATCTCTCTTAACTTGGGACAGGTTAATCCTCAGGTGCCTCTTCTGCAAAATGGGGAAGATAAAAGCACCCACTGCTGAGGCCTGAAGGAGTTCAGTTTCTCCAAGCTCCTAGCACAGGATCTTCCAGCATCAGGCCAATAATAACCGTCCAATAAATGCTAGCTATTATTATTATGGCTAAGCTTGCTGTTAGGCAGATCTCTAGCTGCCCTGGGCTCTCTAGTTGAGCACTGTATGAATGCCCCAGAAAAGGAGGCTGAACTCCAGGATCTCCAGTCTTGATCTAATCTGACTTCCTACCCACCACTCTTTGAAGCTCTTTGGGGATATCCTCCCCCCCCCAGTGCTGCTCACTAGCACCCAAACACCCACAGCGGGCCGGAAGGGACATCGCTAGATGCCCCCCCACCCCATCAGGCGCCCGGGCTCTAAGCAGGCCCGAGGGACCCCCTCCCCCTCCCCCTCCCAGCCAGCCGCTCCCCGCGCCCCCCATCAGACAGACTCCCGCGGCTGCACTCGTCCCCTCCGCCCCCTCGCAGCGCCGTGGGGCTCCGGGCCCCGCGCCCGCCCCCTCCCCAGGGCCAGGCCGCTGACCGGTCCTGGAGCTGGAGGTCGGGTCGCTCCCGAGGCTCTTCGTAGAAGCTGATGCCCGGGTGCGTGGCAAGGGCCCGCCACAGGAACTCCTGCGTGTAGGGCTCCAAAGGCAGCGGGAAGGGAGGCACTCGCGTCTCCAGACGGCTCCACAGCGCCGGCAGACACAGGCCATCGAGCCCCTCCAGGGCCACCTCGTCCAACAACGACTCCAACGCGTCCATTGCTCCTGGAGTTTGCAGCTCCCCGGGCGCCTGCGCATCAGGACGCGGAGGGCCCTCCAGCGCGCCTGCGCACGACAGCGGCAGCCCGGGGAGGCGGGGCTGGACCTGAAGGGGGGAGGAGGAGTTCCAGAGCGCCGGCGTGACGTCACGCCCCGTGGGGGCGGGCTCAGTCCGCGGGGCTCCGCCGCCATTGGTCCGGAACCCCGCAGTAACCAGGGGAACTGCAAACACTGCAGAGGCCGCTTCCGGTTCGAGCACCCGGAACCGCCGCCTCTCGGGATGGATGGTGAGTGTCCGTGGGCCCCTCCGGACGGTCGGGCGGTTATTGTCTCATCTCTCCTGAGGTTCCCTCGGACAGAATCCCAGGCAAGAGAGCCCCGGGTCGCTACTGCCTGACCCGGGGTGGTCTCTGGTCAGAGGGAAAGGGAGCCCCACTAGGGGGTCCGGGATGGGAAGAAGGGGGTGGGGGGGAAGGGGGGCGGGGGGGCGGGGGGGCGGGGTCAGTGGTTTGGCCTCTGTGCGGAGCCCTGTTGGTGTAGGAACCCGGTACAGGCCGGGGGCTCAGAAGCGCCTTAGGGTAGAAAGGAGAAGCAGAAGTCTGAAGGGGGTCTTGTGTGGCCTCCTCGGATGTGGGGCGGTGAAACCTGGGTGTTGGTATGGGGGTACGCGCCATCCAGGTCATCAGCTACTGGGCGGGTGGGGGAGGACCAGGGCATCCTCTCCTTCTGAGCTCTGATGTGGATAATCACTACTGTTTAGTGCCAAAAACTGCAAGCGCTGTCAACAACACCTCGTTAAGCTCCTCAACAGCTCTTTGGGGGGCGGGGGGGGGTCCCATGGTGTGTGTGTGTGTGTGTGTGTGTGATCCTGTTTTGCAAATGAAGAAACTGAGGCTCAAAGAAGTTAACTTGCCCCAAGTCAAACGGCCAGCAAGCTGGGCAGAGTGACTAAGAAACACAGACACTCAGCTAAATGAACAGAGTTGGAGATTTGGCAGTGGTTTCAGAGGCCCTTCAGCTCATTCCAGGCGTTCCAAATGGAAGTATCTGCAGGGGCAGGTCTGGTGGGCTGGATTGGGGTGTCACTGAAAAATCACTGCCCCTTTTGGAAAGGAAAGCTTCTCACTCATCTCCAACCAATTTATTTTTCTGGGGGGGGTTGGGGCAGGGGGAGGCACTTCTCGAAATGCCATGACAGCCAATCAGTCTGATGGCCAGATGGCCAGATGTCACCTGTGGCCCACTATTTAGGGTTCCCTGATTAGAATCATGGAATTGACCGTTGAAAACAATCTAAAAATAGGGTACTTTGATCTCATTTTGAAGATAGGAGGACTAATGTCTAGACAGACTGTTGAGGGCCTGTGCTAGAATCCAGATCATTTTTCTCATTTCAGCACTGTCCCTTACTTCCGAGGATTTGTTCCTTGAATCCGCCTGATGCAGTGTGGGAAGTTAGTTTTTTTTTTTTTAATTGAACAGTCTGATATGTACTTAAAAGACATCTTTGCCCTTTGTACTTCAGAAGTACTATAAAATGTCATTTGCAGTTGCCTTGTGGAGCGATCTATTGCTACAGAGCAACAGTTCTCAAATGTTTGTTTTTGTTTTGTTTTTGTTTTTTCTCAAATCATTTTGATCTCAGGACACCTTTATACTCTTACCTCAAAAGAGCTTTATGTATATTGTATCTGTGCTATTGACCGTATTGAAATTAAAACTGAGAAAAAAAAATCTTAAAGCATTCATTTATCAATTATTTAAAAATAGCAGTAAACTTGGGGTGTCTGGGTAGCTCAGTTCGCTAAGCATCCAGTTCTTGGTTTCGGCTCAGGTCATCATCTCATGGGTTGAGATTGAGCCCCACATTGGGTTCCTCACTTAGCAGGGAGTCTGCTTAAGGTTCTCTCCCTCTGCCCCTCCCCATGCTCACATGTGCCCTCTCTCTCTCTCTAAAGATATTAAATCTTTAAAAAATAACAGTAAACCCATTACTTCTGAATAAAAATTATAATTTTAATGAAAATTAGCTAGGCCTACATCCCCCAAAATTAGTAGGAAGAGTAGCATTATTTTACATTGTCTCAAATCTCTTTAATGTCTGGCTTGATAGAAAATAGCTAGACTCTCATTTCTGCTTCAGCAACCAAACTGTTGTGTCTTTTGGCTGATGTACATGAAGAAAGTCTGGCCTCACACAGGTTTTAATTGCCGTTTCAAATAACTGTAGACCTTCTTTTTTGATACCATACCAAAACCTAGCAAGTGGTGATTTCTTGAAGGGTATTTACAGTGTGCCATCTGAAACCATATTGGTGAACTTTTGTACTCTGTTACATTAAAATCCATTGGTTTATCTTCCCTTTTGTTCAGATATTTTACTCATGTATGATTTTATTACATTAGGCATTGGTCATTTGGAAAATGTTGGTTTACTGAGTCACGCAAGTCTTCCAAATGTTGACCTTTCAAATTCCATTATGTGATATCAAGTGGAATATAATTATATAATATCAAGAAAATCACATTTGTTAATATCACCGTCTATTTCTTCTTTCTTTTTTTTTTTTTTTAGAAAAAAGTTTAAGCTGCTAAACTCAAGGTAGTAGAAACAAGTTTTCATTTGGGCAGCAAATACTGTCAGTTTCCTTGGGGAGAGGGACAGACTCACTTTTTTTTTTTTTTTTTTTTTTTTACGTATTTGAGAAAATGTCCGTGAAACACTCAAGCCTGTATAACTATAAACTATAGTTTGTTAGATGTTCATTCAAGTAAAAAAGTCATTCTATTTATGTATGTGGCTAGGTCAGCTGGTAACTCACACAAGTACATGAGTGTTTTCTAGGATCAACTATTCCGCTTTGGCTTGTACCAGAAGGGCTTGATATACTTCCCATTTTGTTGCACACAATATTAAAAAGATGTATACTCGTGGGATGAAATGGAACAAAATTAATTTAGTATTTCATAAAGATATTCTTAGGTGAAAATGATTTTTTTATGATTATAGTTTTACCGTGAGTACATGGCAGTAAATAATATGATGACTGCTAGTACAATTTGGTGCTGCTGCCTTGTAGCAACTCAGGCCACAAGCAGTTCTATCTACTGCTGCTTCTCCATCATCAATGCAAGTATCGACACAGTGAAGAAATCTTAGAATTGTGGTTAAGATAGTTTTGTCCTTGTGAACCCCCTCTTCTTCCCAGGGTCTGTGGAAAACAGTTTGAGAAACATCGCTATAGACCATTTTTAAGAAGTCTGCCCAGTTACTCTGTCATCATCTCCTTCACTCCTAGAGCATTATCACAGCCCAATAGAGCCCACTCTGTTAATTTTCAGAGTGGTTACAAAAAAGAAAAACTTGTTCTTTCTAAGAAAGCATTTGCCCTAAGATTAGATTTAGCATTCAAAAGATCCCTTTTCTATTAAATGTTTAAAATGTAGGTGATACAACAATTTTATAGGCACATATGTGTTGGGTAGGGTGAAGCATACCATGATGAATTGTGATTCTAGCCAAGTCTGGCCTTACCAAAAAGGTGTTTACTTCCCAAATTTACAGAAAGCTTAAGAATCTACCATCTATCTACAATACCCAAACTGGATTGTAGTTAGGTTAATTCTGCATGTCCAAATCACCATGGTTTTTCACATTTTTCCTGGTCTGTTGGTTTTGACCTTGGGCAAGTTTCATTTGGCTCTGCGATACAGCGTGATATAATGCTGATATATTTGGGGGGGCTATATACCGGTGGATTCAAATTTCAGCTATGTACTCTGACCTCTCTGAGCCTCAGTTTTTCTGTCAATGAAATAGAGCTGAAAATAAGGCATACTTTGTTTTATCTGGTAATCCACTGGTGAATTCAATGAGACTGTGCATGAACACTTAACACCAAGTCTGGCAGATAAAAAGCACTCCTACGAGGTAGCTAATGCTGTCATTATCTGCAAATGGGCAAACTTTAGCTGGCAGAAGAGGGAGGAGGGAATCGATGAAGCTCTCTAGCAAATAATAATCTTTGTAATTAGCTCACTGTTTGTTTAAAAGAAAAGCCGACTTGTGACATTTTATATTTACCTGAAAGTAAACTGGCAATGTGTAAGTCTTTTGCTATGAAGTGTTCACCTTTATGTTAAAGTCACATTTCCTCCAGTGCTTTTAAAATATGATGTGGTTCAGGAAAAAAATATTTCTACTCAGTTCTCAAGGAAACATAATAATTAGACAAAAGTTCAGCACATCAACATAATTAGAAAGGATTTTAAAGCTGTTCATTTGCTTTTGCTCTCCCCAGAGCAAATATTCAACATTTCCCCCGCTTATACTGTTCATTTGCTTAGTACACTTTCTCAAAGAATTAATAATGCCAAGATGAAATTTAGCCTAGCTTGTCTAAATAATCCCAAACTGCAAAACGGGTGACGGTTGAATTAGTAAGGTTTTGTTGAAAGTATGCTGTCAGCATGTCTGGTCTCCTCTGTTCTGATCCAGTATTCACCTGTGGGCTCCCGGTGACTTGTCAATTTCTCTGACTACTTAAAATAAACCAAGCCAAAAATGTTGTAAAATAAAACAAAGTGAGCATTCAGCAGGCAAAATAAACATGTGGTCTGTGTAGTCTCTATGTCTGTTCTCCCTCCCTTCTTTCTTCATGCCCACCTTTGAATCTGATTCATTTATTTGTGTCTTGCTAGTTCTCAGTATCCATCCCAACCTGTGATTTTAGCTTACAGGAACTTGGCACGCTAAGTTTTGCTTATTCTTTAGGGCATTCATTTAGTAACCCTGCATTTCAATGCCTTCTGTGTGCTGGAATCCAGAGATACCAAGATGAGTACTGGATCCAGGTGAAGGGTAGACGGGAGTTTATTGTATTATTCTTTTTCTTTTCTTTCTTTCTTTTTTTTTTTTCTCTTAAAGTAGGATCCACGCCCAGCATGGAGCCAACATGGGGCTTGAACTCACGAGCCTGAGATCAAGACCTGAGCTGAGATCAAGAGTCAGATGCTTAACCGACTGAGCCACCCAGACACCCCTCCTTGTATTACTCTTAAAACTTTCTTTAAGTTGATTTTTCTGAACATAGAAGTTAAGAATTTTTTCACCTTAAACACAAAAAGAGCGATGTAGCCAATTTGAAAATGAATTCTTTATATCTGAGGTTACAAGTTGGGGGCCTCTGAATAAATCAGATCACAGTCATGCTTACTTAGCCCATAATGATTTTTGTTTTGTTTTCAGTTTTTTTTTTTTTTGCAATTTTTGAATGAGTTGTCAACG